GAAAGGATGGAGTTCTCCAATGGCCATCAAGCCTCTTCTAGGAATGAAATCAATTCCCTGAGCTCTACTTCCTTCATGAAACCCTTGAGGAGATATCCAAGTGCTGAAAGTTCCTCTTGATTCCTCGAGTGAGCTCTGCTTCTAGCTTAGGGCCCCTCACTCATAAAACACAGGCGAATACCCACAATCTGTTAGTTCATAAGAAAAGGCTCTAAAATGAGACCAGAGACATGATTACTACCCTGTTTCCCCGAAAATAAGACAGTGTCTTATATTAATTTTTGTTCCCAAAGATGCGCTAGGTCTTATTTTTGGAGGATGTCTTATTTTCGGGGAAACACGGTAGCACACATTATATATTTAAACGTTTGTGTGTGTTTTTTTTTTTAAATAAAAATTGTTTTATTTAAGGAGGGGAAATGATCCCGTGTTTTTATTGGTGGCATAAGACCTTTTTTTTTTTTTTTTTTTTTAGATGAATTTTAAACTAGAAAGGGAAAGGGAAAAAAGATAGACAGGGCTGCATATCTAATAGGTGGCATGTAGGTGGCTTTTGGGTGCCCATGCTATTACTGTAGCATACACCCTAGGGACATAGGATTATATCACTGCCACCTTGCCTTAGCTTCAAAATAACTTCTATAAAGAGGAGGGAGCATCCACCCAGTATACTCACTTGTAGAGTCTGCCTCATTTCCTTTCTTGCCAGACAAGGAAACCAGACACTGAACTGAGTGTTTAGTAGTATTTGGTTCTAGAGTTAAACTGCATGTCATATACCATCTGTGTAGCCTGGAGCATGTTAATTTACACTTTAACATTGCCCCAGTTAATCTGTAAATGGGGTAGAGAATACAGTGCCTGTGATTACCTCTTAGGGTTATTGTGTCAAATAAATAAGGCAGTTCATGGAATGTGTTTGCATAGTGCCTGGGACCGGGTGAATGCTCAATAAATGTGAACTATCAAGATCTCTTATTTTTTTAAATTAGTAAGTTTTAAAATGAATCTACATTAAGACTGAGCATCTACTGTGCACATATCTTTATCCTCTGGGGGAGATGTGGGACCATAAAACACAGAGAAAAGGGGGTGTGACTGGAGAGATCAGGGAAAAATTCTAAGACTCTGTGGGTGGGACTCAGGGGATGGGTAGAGGATGAACAGGCAGGCATGAGGCGGTTCAAGGTGTGGGAGCAGTGGGAGCAAAGGCTTGGAGTGGGGAGGTGAGGAGTGCCTTAGGAGAACAAGCATTTATTCTCATGATGCTAGAGGAAAAGGAAACCAGGAGGGAGGATGAAGCATGATAAGAGAAGAGGCTGGGATTGGAGCCCGCTCATAAAATGAGTTTTTTATTGCTATTTTTACAGAGAGGAAGAGAGAGGGACAGAGAGACAGAAACATCGATGAGAGAGAATCATCCATCAGCTGCCTCCCACATACCCCCCACTGGGGATGTGCCCACAATCAAGGCACATGCCCTTGGTCAGAATTGAACCCAGGACTCCCCGTCTGCAGGCTGATGCTCTATCCACTGAACCAAATCGGTCTCAGACATAAAATGACTTTTTGATAAAAGTCTAGTTAATTCATTGCCAGGGAAAATTTAACTCATGTTCTACCTGAAGTTTGATTATGAGGTAGGTCTTCACAGCCCACATCAATTTCTACCACACCTTCACTCTGCTCTGGAATTCCCACTTGACATGAATTGACTCTTGATTCTGCCTTTCTGGATATTGCTTGGGTGTTTCTCCAAATTCCTAGGCTGATGGTTGCTATAGAAACAAAATATTTCTAAAGAAAACACACACACACACACACACACACACACACACACACACACACACACACTAGAACCAGTCAAGAATAATAGATTCTAAGGAGAAATCCATGGCATTCAACCAAATAAATACCCATCCATGTGGCATGCTGTGAAGCTTTAATTACTGCGCTCAAAGATCAAAGTGCCATTACTCACGAGTGGAGAAGCCAAATGTAAATGAGGGAGGTCTTTCTTAAACAAGTGGTGACCAACTCCCTGAACTCAGCCAAGGGTTCCACAGTGTTTATACACACCTGGTGGCCCTTATACACTCATAGGAGCAGGACAATGTGGTATTTTGCTGTGCTGCATGCAGGACAATGCCTACTGGGTGTTGCTTACAAAATGTACAAGGCGATTAATGTCACGGGAAGATGGCTTCGGGCAGAAGGCGGAGCATCCTTATATAAGCAGTTTCAGAGAGGCTGCAGCCTTCAGCCTGTCATCCTGAGCACTAACCCCAGAGCAGTCTGGATATTTGTTAATATCTGTACTCTACTGCTGATTGTTTTCCAACTTAATTATACAACAATCTAAAAAAAAACGGGCCATATGCTCTACTCCAGACCCTGGGGAGAGGAGGCGTGAGATGGGACCACAGGGTGGTCTTTTCATCAACATTTATTTTGGGAAAGATTTTGACAAAAGAATGGGTTGGAGTAAGGGAGAAAGATTGGTTTACTGGCCCATCGATTGGCAATTAGCAAACCAGGTCTCTGTGGTTCTGTTTTTCATTATTGAATCCAGAATGAGGATAAACAACTTATTTTATTAGCTCTTGTCCCTCTTTTTCCTTTCTTTCTTTTTTTTTAAAAATCCTACCCAAGGATATTTTTTCCATTGGTTTTTAGAGAGTGGAAGGAAAGGGGAGAGACAGAGAGAGACATCGATGTGAGAGAGACACATCAACTGGTTGCCTCTCACACATGTTCAAGCCTGCAACTGAGATAGGTGTCCTTGTCTAGAATCAAACCCGGGACCCTTCTGTCTGTGGGCCAACACTCTGTCCATTGAGCCAAACTGGCTAAGGCCCCTCTTTTTTTTTTTTTTTAAATCACTATATCCACACTATCCAGTCAACCCTATGTCCTCACTGTGGGGAAGGGGACTAACAACCACTTCCTTTTTCACCTTGAGAATGTTCCACTGTTTTGGATTTTCTTTCCTTCCTTCCTCCTACCCTCACTCCCTCCTTCCCTTCTTCCCTCCCTCCTTCCCTTAAGGTGAAGCTAGGACCTGTAGGATGAGAAGAGCTTGCCATTCGCAAAGGAAGTAAAAAGGGTTTCAGGCAAACTTAACAGCTATTGCAAAGGAGGTACAAGCTCATTGTGGCTGGAGGATAGTAAGGGAGAGATTTGAAAGACAGGAATTGGAGAGGTGGTCAGGGACCAAAGCACATGGGCCTGGCAGGTCAAAAATGGAGTTTGTCTTTTAGTCCGAGGGCAAAGTGAGTTTTTAAGCAAAGATCCCTCTGGATATTGGGTAGAAAATGGAGCAGAGGGAGGTGCGAGTGGAGATGTGGCGAGCAGTCAGGAGGCCACTGCAGGAGTCCAGGGAAGAGAGATGGTGACATGTCCTAGGATGGTGGCAGTGGAGATAAACTGGAGATCATGAAGAACTTGCTTCCTGGCACCTCACGATGGAGTTTAACACTCTCTTCCTTTTTAATGTTCTGATTTCCTCCTATACCATTGGTTATTTCTTTTCCATCATTGTCAAGCTCTTTTCCTCAGTTCTCCTCTAACTATTGGGGTTCCTCCCGATTCTCCCCTCAGCTCTCTTCTTTCTCTACATACAGGGTGCATAGTTTATGCACTTTGTCTGTATATTGCTGATATCACCCATATATCTTTAGACTAGGTTTCTCTTTTTAGCAGCAGACATGCTTCCAGCTGCCCACGAGATAGTGTCACTCAGATGAACCATAGGCCTACATACCCTCTGTGGACACGGTTCCCCAGTCAACCCTCTTCTCGTCTGTGCTTCCTACTGAGAGAGGGGTAGCCCCATCCTGGGCTCTTTGACCCCTGCTCCCTTATCTCACGCACCTGCTGCTCACCAGGTCCGGTTGATCCTATTTCTTTCTCCAAACTGCCCACTTCTCCCCATCCCCACGCCATGACCCTAATGGAGGCCTCCATCATCTTCTTAAAATCCTGTGATTGACCTCCCTGCCTCCTGTCCCATCTACTTCCAATCCACATTGAAGGCAGAATTTTCCCTCTTACACATGAAGATACCATGTTCCTGCTCAAAGCCATCAACTTGTCATTTTTCTTAGGATAAAATTCAGACTCCTTGACATGACCTAAGGCTCCTGTGGCTGCATTCTTTTTTTTTTTTTTGGCTCTGAGCCTGATGCATGTTCTCCTACCCCAGGATCTTTGGGTTTACATTCAGAAGGATTCTGGAATTCTAAATATTTCTGCCACAGTAAACATCATCTGTAATACTCATAATTATATTACCTCCTAGTATAAGATGATAAAAACCATTTTTTATTTTTCAATGGCAGTTTACTTTCAATATCGTTTTCTATTGGTTTCAGTTGTACAGCCTAGTGATTAGACAATCATATAATTTACAAAGTGTTCCCCCCAATGTTTCCAATACCCACCTAGCATTATAGATAGTTATTACAATATTGTTGACTATATTCCCTGTGCTGTCCTTTTACATCCCCGTGACTATTTTGTAACTACAAATTTGTACTTAATCCCTCCCTTTTTCACCCAGCCCTCCAATCCCTTCCTCTCTGGCAACCACGGATTGTAGAATCTTGAAATAATTATACTTGGGTTTGTCTTAGCTATTTAAGTCAAATAACTTTATTTTTAGTTTCTTTTTAGACAAAGCTCTTTATAAGAATCACAGGTTAAAGATCACACACAAATTACATTCCCCCCTCAATCACAGAAATACAGATTCAATAATTTTAAAATATCAATTTTTTGAACCCCAGATAGGTGGGGAAAATGCTGCTGGGGCCTATCTCCGCTACATTTCCCACAACAAGGAAAAGAGCCCTAGTGTACTGAACATGCTTATTTCAGAAAATCGGCAGTAACTGGCTTTGAGGGAAAGTCGGTTGAGCTGAAGTTGCAGTTTGAAGCCCCTCCTGCCCGTCCAGTGCGTGGACCCAGCACACATCCTTGAAGTGCTGGCTCGGAAAGACTCATGTCTTCACCAGCCAAATCTCATTGCGACGTCCGTAGGGCTTCATAGGCGGGTCGTACCCAGTGCAGAAGTACATGTCACTCTGGTAGGTCCCTGTGCCCTCCAGGGCGGTGCGTAGCTGGGCAGCTTGGGCTATGTAGTCGGCTTCCTTGGCATAACCCCCAAACTGCCTGAGGGTACAAGAGCAAGGGGCTGGTTAAGAAAGGACATGGTCTCTGAGAGAGGGGGGGATCTTTCAGAAAAGGTCACGCACCACATTTATGAAATCATATTACGATGGTGAGATTGTGAACTTCCTAGGTGACTGGATGTGAGCTTTCTGAGCCTCAGATCCTCATGTATGAAAGTGGGATATGTTTTCTCTTTCCTCCACGGTTTTTATGAGCATTAAGTGCAATAATGGATGTGAAAAACTAATGCGGAGCCCGAAACAGAGTAGTTCCATAGGAAATGTGAGCTTCCCCTTCACTCTCTGAAATTCCCCCAAGATGGCAGGCTGACCTTCTGCCCCAAGGCACACCCTTTTCTCTAGCTCCCTCTACTGCCTGGGGCTCCTCTTCTTGGCCTCTATCTCCAGCTGGGGAAGGAGACGGATCAGGGGGAATGAGAGTGCGGCTGCAGGTAACATTTCTCCCACAGCAGAGCAATTTTCTAATGAGTGAGCATCTCGCAGCAGTGAGAAGCAGCAGCCAGCTTTGTTCAAAAACAGAGACCTGGGAAAGCTTTGGAGGGCCCCTTGGCAAGCTTTAAGCATGGAAGTAGCTTCTAATAAATCCCTTCCCTTGCTCAAATTACGAAGGCCTTCTTTTCCTAGTAAATAAAGAGACTTTTCCTAAATCACGTTTTTCTCCTGATGGCAGAAGGTGGGAACAAGAAAGCAACAGAGCCTCTCTTTTCAAGATTATTATTCTCTCCTTACGTCATCTGCCTACGCTCCGAAATTCATCCTGTGGCCTACCCTAAATATACCATTCTATATCTGTGTGGCCCTAAAATCTTTATGAGAGTCAAATTCATTCCCATTCCTAATGAGCTTTATGACTCAGAAGTCTGAATCCGCATCAGGCCAAGATTAGGCCAAATGCATTATTTCTGGTGGGGTTCTCTGACTCACGCTTTGCTCTTTTATAAGTGGTTAGTCATGCTCCGCAAGCATTCAACACGTTGATTACAGGGCTATTGATGTGAAAACACCTAGGATTTCATCTTTAACAGATAGGTTATTATAATGTCTAGACAATAGCTACAGAATGTGGACAGAGCTGAGGCCAATTTGGACTAGAGGAGGCTTGGCTCTTCATATAGATCGAAGAAAAATTATGAGGCAGGAAAAAAGTTGAGCTCTAGCTTCATTGAGGCTCAAATGAGAGGAAACTGGATTAGTTAGACAGAGGATGGACTTCGTGAAGGAAGTGTTTTTCTGGCAATAAAAGCCTGCACTGAGGCTGAGAACCATCTGTCTGAAAATAATCAGATGCTGGATGTGGGAGCAGGTGTTGAGTGTTCTCTGTAGCCCCTCTCCTGCTATGATACTAAATTGTTCTCTTGTGAAAATGGATGGTGTTGGCTCTTTAAGCTACTGGTTTTGGGAAACACCCAAAGGAGTGGTTCTCAGCTATCTTCATTTGTCAGTTGGAGGCAAAATGGCTAGTTGTGTGCTCAACTCCAGCCTCAGCTACTTTCTAGCTCACGAGCTTGGGCAAATGCTTTAATTTCTCTCATCTTCGGCCTGTAATCTGATCAGTAGGGATGGTAGCATTAATCTCCGAAGGCTGTTGTAAAGCTTAAAGGAGAAAAGACTATGCAAACTGCTCAGCCCAGTGCCTTTCACAGAGTAAGCTCCTGTCATAGGAAAATGTAGCTATTATTGTTATTTCATAATTTGCTCAAAACAACAATTCAATCCTCTGACTCCAGAGGAGAGGGACATGATGTTCATAAACAGTAGCATATGAACACAGGAAGACAGCCTAATAAAAATAAACAAACTCCATTAGCAATCGCATCTTCTCAATAAGATATAATCTCAAAACCCTGTTTGATCTTATACACCTTCTTCCCTTGCTCTTTCTTCTTCCTTTGATCATTTTCTTTACTCATCGTGTTCATAGCTTATGGTCTGAGTTCCCTGATAGAATACAGGCTCCACGAAGGCAAGGATCTTTGTCACTTTTTGTTCACTAGTGTATCCTGAGTACCTAATATACTGCCTGACACATATCAGACTCCTTGGTAGATGAACAATTCTGGAATAAACAATAGAAGTTACTGTCTTTGGGTTGATGGACTTAAAGATGGTAGGACTTAAGTCTATTTGCCTCTATGTTCACATACACATATAATAAACATAGGAAGTACATATTGAGGGGACAGTAGAGAGAATTCAAACAGGAAACATGGGTTGACTGGAGGTACATTATGAAGGATCTTGAATGCCATGCTAAGGACGTTGAACCCTATCCTACATGCAAAAGTAGACTTATGAAGGGGAAAATATAATCAGATTGTGCTTTGGACTAATATTTCTGGTGGCAGTGAAGGGATAGGAGAAATGGAGTCACCGGAGGCCAGGAACAGCCAACTATGAGATGACAGAGGCCTGGACAAAGGCAAATTTGAAAGGTGCCTGGATGGGTGAGGACTGGGGGATAGAAGAGAAGAGTTGGGATGGTCCAGGGCTTCCAATTAAGCCTCTGGATAGATTGATGCCACTAGCCAGATTAGGGGTTCTAGGCTGAATAGTCACTTTGGAAGGAGAGTTGGGAGGGTTAATAATTTGGTTTGGGACATGCTGATATGAAGTTGCCACTGTGAAATACATTTATGCCACAATTGTTGTATACCTAAGTATGTGGCAGGCACTGTGAAAAATCTTAGATTTGGGGAAGAACTGGAGCCAGAGCTATTGATTTGGGAAATAGATGAGAACTGTGGAACTCACCAATGAGGAGGTGTTAGTTATAAAGGAGGGAGACCAGGCATAGATAGTGAGCAAACAGAAACAGTAAACTGCTTTTGGGAATCCTAGTCCCCAAGTGGTGGGAAGACTGAGGACTTGGCCACGGACCCTGAGAAGTTGTCTGAGAGGTACAAGGAGATTGGCAGAAAGTGAAATAAAGAATGTCATCATTTGGGGTTTCCTAAGTTCATTATTGGAAAAAACATCCCAACTGTCTATATTTACCCTCCGGTGCACTGAGATGCTGGTAATGAGCATAAAAATGTCACTATTGCTTCAACCTGGGAGCCTTCTACTAGAAACAAGCAGAGCTAGGTGGGCTATGGAGCAGATGCTTGTGTTCCCCTTCCTGCCAATCTAACCATGCCACAGAAATGCAGGAACAAGCCAGAGGACCAAACCCTACCAGGCACATAACCCTGATAAATGCAGGAAGCCCAGCTCTGGCTGCTTCGTCTGTGTTCTGGGACGAGCTACCTCATTCTTTCCCACCTCGGCTTCCAAGCTGTACTCGGAGAGTAACAACACAGTGCCCACAGCTCTCCAAATTCACCCCATGTGAGTATGAGTTAAGGTATGCTCGTAAAGTGCCTTGAGCTTCTCAAAGGAAGTAAACATGAAGTCTATACATTATTTTTGTAAGCCTATTAACAAGTCTCTAAGTCTCCATCTTCAAAGAAGCTCTCCTGAGGGCACTGTATTTTATATCACCCAGCATCAGAGCTCAGCATTCCTAACAAAGACTTTTTGGTTACCATGGGAACCAAGGAGCTAACACCTGTCTTGGATTCCAGAAACACAAAAGACACTGACTAAAAAGGGCAGAAGGAGTTGGTGGTGGAGTGGGGGAGGAGATGCTGCAGGCTCAGGGATGCAAAAAATCCTAATGTGTTGTCTTTCTGGGAGTGTCTGCTGCAGGCAGGCAATGGGGAAGAGAGAAAAATAAAATTACTCTAAGGCTGACCATCCAACTTGGTTTAAAATTTTAACAATCAACAAGTCTACAGAGATTTGTGGAGAGTCTGATGTGCATGTAGCTCTGTGCCAGACCAAAGAAATGTAAGACTAGCAGCTGACGGTCTCGTGTTAACAGAAAGAGGCTTAACACCAGAACACATGTCCTTCTATCAGGTTGAATCAAACTTAGTGAGCTGAGCATCACTGAGCACAAAGCACAAGCCAGATACCACAGAGCTGTAAAGATGATAAAGACGTCTTTTCGCCCTGGCGAGGTCTAACCAGTGGCTGGGATAGAAAGAAATAAAGATGATACAGGGCAGAAGGCACTAGAATCGAGTTTTGTAAAAGGCCCAAACAGAATGGTGGGCGATAGGAAATTATCTGACTTTGACTATGAAGAGAAGGCATTTTGAAGGATGAGATATTAAGCAGCTATTATTGAGTATCTCTTCTTAATGATAGCAATAAAGAATATAAAAGAAATTCTTGTCCTCTCAGAGCTTCCAATAAGCAGAGACTGGGGAGAACATCTGAGCAGAGCTGGTTGAGAGTGAGTGGAAATGGACACAGTATGTGTATTTGGGGAGCTGCTAGGAAGTGGGGGTGAGATGCTCTGAGATCAGGTGGACAGTGGAGTGGGGCTATGTGTGGAGGGCAGTAAATGCCACATCAAAGCATTTTACTAGGCTTCCCTGCCAGGCCAAGCATTTGGGGACCCAATCCAAAGTTCACCCCTTCCCCTACTCCTGGCGAAGGAGCATTTTATGACTAGCTTGGCCTTGGTCCCAGCCTTAATGTGTGCCTGGGTCATAGGCAGGCCGAAGCCCACAACCAGGGCTGAGTAGCAGGGGGAAGTAGTGTGATCGGTCCTGTGCTTCCAGCTGGCTGTGATCAAAGGACACCTTAGAAAGGGCAGAGGTGGAAGAACTAGAAATAATCAGGAGGCCACGGTAGGAGTGTAGACAAGAGGTGATGAAGACCTGTGGCAGTGTGGATGGAAGGAAGGACCAGCTAGGAGGTGACTAGAACTTGGCCAATAATTAGGTGACATTTGAACAGGGTGGGTAGGAGGATGGAGGGGACCTTCAGTAAAATGGAGAACACGGGATCAGGTTTGGGGAGGAAAGCTGAGTTCCATCTCCGACATGTGGATGTGGAAGATGGCTGAAGAGGTTGATGTGGTGATACCTCCTGGTGAGCAGCAATGTAAGGCTGGTGCTTGGGAGAAATCCACCCAGAAATGCCATCATT